GAGATGGAATGGAAAGCAGGGATGTGCAGTGTGACCCAGGCCTGCCGAGGTAGATGGGGCTCTGAAGGCCCCAGGAAGCATTTGCATGTTTCCCCGGGACCCTTGGAGGACAGGCGTATATCTTCTCTTCCTGCTACCTCCTCCCTGGCTCAGGGAGTCCAAATACTTAATATCTGGCTTGATATGGATAGTACTGTCTTCCCAGGTGGGTTGCCAGGAGGTGATGTAAAAGAAAGCTCAGAGCCAGGGATTGGTGGCGCACGCCTGTAACTCTAGCCACTCAGGAAGCTGAGATCTGAGGATCACAGTTCAAAGCCAGGCCGGGCAGGAAAGTCCTTGAGATTCCTATCTCCAATGAACCACTAGAAAACCAGAAGTGGTGCTGTGGCTCAAGCCGTAGAGTGCTTGCCTTGAGCTGAAGAGCTGAGGGACAGCGCCCAGAGTTCAAGCCCCAGAAAGAAAGAAAAACCAGCTGCACACAGGACAGTGCCAGCCCTGTTCCCCCCCCCCCCCCCCCCGCCCCCTGTCCTGACAAGCTCTCCCCAAAGCCAGTCCAGATCGGATGGGGGAGGTGAGGTTCCCCCCCTCTCCCCCCCCAAGACCAAGACCATGCTCACTTCCCATAGGCAACTCCAACCTGGTCTACGCCATCATCCGCAAACGCAGCGTCTTCCACCAGCTGGCCAACCTGCCCACTGACCCGTCCACCATCCACAAGGCCCTGCAGCGGCGCCGGCGCACCCCAGAGCCCCTGTCCCGCACCGGCTCCCAGGAGGGCGCCTCCATGGAGGGCTCCCGCCCCGCTGCCCCCGCGGAGCCGGGCACCCTGAAGACCAGCCTGGCGGCCACCCCAGGTCTGCCAGCGGCCGGCAAGGGTGGGGGGGGCAGCTCCTGGCACAGTTAGGGGCTGGGCATGATCTCCGGGGACACTGAGAGGATGGGGATGGGCCCAAAGTGGGGATCGTGCCGGGCACCCGTGGCTCACGCCTGTCATCCCAGCTACTCAAGAGGCTGAGATCCGAGGATGGCGGGTTGAGGCCAGCCAGGGCAGGAAGGTCTGTGAGACTTTTTTTTTTCTCCTAGTCCTGGGCTTGAACTCTGGGCCTGGGCATTGTTCTTGAGCCTCTTTTTGCTCAAGGCTAGCACTCTACCACTTGAGCCACAGCACCACTTCTGGCTTTTTCTGTGTATGTGGTGCTGAGGCAGCAAACCCAGGGCTTCATGTGTGCTGGGCAAGCACTCTACCACTGAGCTTCATTACCAGCCCTGTGAGACTCTTCTCTCAACTAAACCACCAACAAACCAGGGGTGGTGCTGTGGCTCAGGTGGTAGAGTGCTAACTTTGAGCAAAAAAAAAAAAAGCTCAGGGACGGCATCCAGGCCCTGAGTTCAAGCCCCAGGGCTGGCACGCACGCACGTGCGCACACACATACACACACACACACACACACACACACACAGAAGTGGTGGTGGAGGAGGAGGTGGGTGGTCTGGGAAGGGGACAGGGTGAGGGGAGAGAGGGGCTTCTGGGAGGGGGTTGGGCACCGGAGTGGGCATGATGGGAAATCAGATCCAGTGGCTCTGCGGTGGGTGGCTGGCAGGAGCCCTTGTGGCACCCACCCCGGGGCTCACTGTGGTGGCCCCACGCCCTCATGCCCTGCCCAGGCATCGACAAGCTGACGGAGAAGTCCCAGGTGTCAGAAGATGGCACCCTGAGGTCCCTGGAGCCCGAGCGGCAGCAGAGCTCGCCCGAGGGCAGCCCGGCCAAGGGGGTGAGTACCAGGGAGGCCTCAGAGTGGATGCTGCGGGGGGGGGGGCAGAGGGGGAGGTTACCCTCCTCATCCAGCAGCCTTATCGGAGACTGGCCTTTACCCCGCCTTCCCTAGGCCCTAAACCTGTCAGTGGGCAGAGGCTGGGCTGGGCTGGGGTCCAGGGCAAAGGGGCAGGGCTGGGCCTGGCTCACTGCTGAACTTGAGCCTCCCCCCCCCCCCCCCCAGCTAGTGCCATGACCTCACTGCCCTCTGACCCCCTCCCCTCCCCTCTCCCTTCCTTCCTGGGGGAGCAGGAGTCCAGCCAGGCCTGGCGAGGGCAGCGGCGGCCGTCCAGCTCATCAGCCAGCGGCCAGTGGAACCCCACGCCAGATTGGGTGAGGACACCAGAGGGGGGGCCGGGGGCTCCCCTCCCTCTCCCTCCCCCAGACCCTAGGAACAGCATCCACATGAATCAGTGGGAGGGGGGAGTGACCTTCCTCAAGTGTTCAAGGTCCTGCTGGGTGCAGGGAGGACACATCTGCTTGACCTTGAGCCCCAGCAGGTCAAGGTCAAGCGTCAAGGCCCCCGGTCCCCCCTCCCCCGCCGCGCAGGTGGTGTCGTGGAAGTCGAAGCTGCCGCTGCAGACCATCATGCGGCTGCTGCAGGTGCTCGTGCCCCAGGTGGAGAAGATCTGCATCGACAAGTGTGTCTGAGGCCCGGCTCCCACGGTTGCGGGGGGGGGGGGGGGGGGCTGGTGCGTCCACACGAGCGTGCTGGAGCCCCTTCTTCCCCCTAGGGGTCTGACGGACGAGTCAGAGATCCTGAGGTTCCTGCAGCATGGCACCCTGGTGGGTCTGCTGCCTGTGCCCCACCCCATCCTCATCCGCAAGTACCAGGCCAACTCGGGCACCGCCATGTGGTTCCGCACCTACATGTGGGGCGTCATCTACCTGAGGTGCGCCCCGTCTACCTGGGGGGCGAGGGCCTGCCCAGCAGGGGGAGGGCCTGCCCAGCAGGGCGAGGGCTCCCCACCCATAGTGGGGTTAACGCCCACATGGTCACGTCTGAGGGCATCACCACTGGTCACGGTGGGGAGTGAGGATGGGGTTGGCTGGTTTGGCTGCCACCTAGCTTGCTGGCTTCATTTCCTTCCTTCCTTCCTTCCTTCCTTCCTTCCTTCCTTCCTTCCTTCCTTCCTTCCTCTCTCCCTCCCTCCCTCCCTCCTTCCCTCCATCCCTTCTTTCCTTCTGTATCATTACTAGGGTTTATATTCAGGGCCTCACATCCTCCCTTGGCTTTTTTTGCTCAAGGCTGGTGCTCCGCCACTTGAGCCAAGCGCCACTTGTGGGTTTTCTGGTGGTTCCTTGGAGATCAAGAGTCTCCTGGGCTTTCCTGGCGGGGCTGGCTTTGAGCTGAGATCCTCAGATCCCAGCCTCGGGAGTAGCCGGGCTGCCGGTGTGGGTGCCAGGCGCCTCCTCTGGGAAGGCGGTGCCCACGCTCACTCCCGGCTCCCACTGCAGGAACGTGGACCCGCCCATCTGGTACGACACTGACGTGAAACTCTTTGAGATCCAGCGGGTGTGAGGACAGACAGCCGCAGGGGCCAGGACTGGGGGCCCAGCCTGGTCCCCGATGCCCTTCACCATCCCCAGCTTTCACGACCAACAGCAGCACGTGGGCAGTGGGCAGGCGGGTGGCGGCTCCCACGGCTGCCTGTGGCTGGGGCCGGGGGGACCCAGTTCTGCCTTCAGCCTCCCAGGCTGTGCTCCTGGGGTTCCAGGACACACCCAGAGCCCATGCGGCTCCCCCTTTCTGTGCTAGCCATTCCTGGGCTGCGCACTCCCCAAAGCCACCCAGTCAATCACTGTGCTCAGGAGGACTGTGCACTCTAATGGGGTCCCCTTGGGGCACCCTGGCAGGAGCTGGGGGAGGGGCAGTGGGGGTCAGCTGAGGAGACCAGGGCTGGGGACCCACTGAGGCAAGACCCGGAGCGCTGCTGCAGCGTGCACAGAGGGTCGTGCTGGTTGACGGGGCTGGGGAGGGGGTGGGCAGCTGCCTAGGCCCTGCCCTGATGATGGGGGACCCCCCCCCCCCGCCATGTGTGTCAGTACAATCTTTGCTTGGTACAATCGGCCACTTTACACAATAAAGCCTCCCTCCCCCACCCCGCTTTTGTGCTTTTGTGCTTGGTGTGGGGGGGGGCGAGGCTCTAGATTGGGGCTCTTATCTTCAGCCAGCTGGGGACTCTGCACCCCACAGTCATCAGTCCCCTGAGGACCTTTGACCCCGTGCTGGGAGCAAGCTCTTTGCTGTTTTCTCAGGTGGAAGCAGACTCACGCCTTGGAACCTGGGGTTTGTGGCTGGGGGAGGGGGGCGGGGAACAAGCCCACAGTGGGGTGGGGGCGTGACCCAGGGGAGAAGGGCCTCCCCCAGCAGCCAGAAACAGCACTGAGACCCCCTTCGGCCTCACCCCTGGAGATGTCCCCTCACAGCCTGGCTTCTGGGAGACAGGCAAGGACCAGCTCGGGCCAGACTCCTCTGCCCGGCCCTGGCTCTGCTCCAGGCCTCGCCCTGGGCATGGCCTGCTTGTTTGCACCGGGCTCAGGGAGATGGATGGGCTGACAGGGCGCCCCGTCCCCTTCCTACCCCACCCAGGGGCTCTGGCAGGCTTCCCACCCAGGGGACAGGGTGGCCAGAGGCTGGGGCCAGAGACAGTCCCAGAGCCACAGCCCTTTCCCACCACACCCGGGGTGGCGATTCTGTCCCTGGGAACAAATGCCATGGAGCCTGGGTGGAATCAATCAAACAAACAGTGTTTATGGCAGCAGGAGAGAGCTGTTGAGCCCTGCCTGGCAGCTAATTAATGGGTTCATTAGGAGATAGGGTGTGTGGGGAGTGGAGGGGGGGGTGTGTCCACGGAGCTCTGCACATCGGGCCCTGAGCTAGAATGTACTAGATTCAAGCTGGAACCTCCCCAGGGACCAGGCCCTTGGGGCCTGGCAGGAGAGGGAGTTCCCTCTCCATTCCCTGCCCGCCTCCCAGCCCTGATGGTCACAGCAGCAGGGGTCCCTGCCAGCGTCCTGGGGGGCCTCCTTGGCTTCTGGGATGGTGCGGTGGGGCGCAGGGCAGGCATGCGCTCAGGCCTGGCCATGGGCATCCGAAGTGCGGTGTCCAGGCTCCGCCCTTGGTCTTGAGCCCCAAGATGTCGTCCGGCCTTCTGAGCATCCGCCCGAGACTCCACTACCTTCTTCTCTGCCTCCCCACTGCCAGTTCTCAGGGGGTGGTTTCTTCGGGCATCCTCAGGCCCCCAGGTAGACCTCTACCAGCCCCCCGACGGAATGCATGCGGTAGAAGACCCCCAGGGGCAGGCCGAAGTTGACGATGGTGAACCATGCCCGGTAGCCATAAAACTCCTTCTCCAGCCCGTTTTCGAACTCCGGGTGTATGCCAAAGGCTGGCATCATCCACAGCTGTGTGGAAGGGAGAGGGAGGGTGGGGTGGGGGAGGGGCTCTCTCACACTCCAAGATGCTGAGGATAAGGGAGGAGACCCCAGAACCTGAAGCTCCTCCCACACCTCCTCCCACCTTTCTGTTCCATTGTGCGTGTGTGTGTGTGTATGCGTGTGAGAGAGAGCGCATGCGCACACATGCACACGTACCACTACTTGGGCTTGAAAACTCAGGGCCTAGCACTTTTTTAAAACCAGTCATGGGGCTTGAACTCTGGGCCTGGGCACTGTCCCTGGGCTTCTTTTTGCTCAAGGCTAGCTCTCTACCACTTGAGCCACTGTGCCACTCTGGCTTTTTCTGTGATTTATGGGAGATAAGCGTTTCACAGGCTTTCCTCCCCAGGCTGGCTTCCAACAGTGATCCTCAGATCTCAGCCTCCTGAGTAGCTGGGATTACCCGGCTGAGGGCCTCATACTTTTGCTTGTCTTTTTCACTCAAGCCGGATGCTCTCCCAATTGAGTCATACCTCTTTTTCTGGCTTTTGGCTTTTTGCTGGTTAAATGGAAATAAGAGTTTCATGGATTTTTCTGCTTAGACTAGCTTTGAACCGTGATTCTTAGATCTCAACCTCCTGAGTAGCTAGGATTACAGGCGTGAGCCACCGGGTACACGGTTCCTGTTGTCAATGTTTTGCATTCCTCCAGGCCTAGATCACACCTTTCCTGAAGCCTGCCCTGGCCACTATACCCACACTGCCTTCTCTGCAGTCCTAATGCACTTTAGAGCTAATTTATTCGTTATTCGCTGCCAGGACCAGGGGGCTCACATCTGAGGTTTGTTCTCAGGGTTTGTGAATTGATCCCACAGGCTGTGGGCCCTGGGCGTGCTTGTCTGTGCAGTGGGGACCATAATGCTTGGTCTGGGTTACTGAGATAACTCAAGTGCATGTGGAGGTGGGCCTGGGACTTAACAGCTCCTGAAAGCCAAGTGATCATTATTAATATCTTCCACTAAGGAATTTCCCTTTTTTCTGGACTTGAACTCAGGACCTGGGCACTGACCTTAGCATTTCTCTCTCAAGGCTGCTCTACCACTTGAGCCACAGCACTGCTTCTGGCTTTTTTAGTGGTGAATTAGTGATAAGAGCCTTATAGGGTTTCTGGTTCACGGTAGCTCTGAACCATGGTCCTCAGATCTTAGCCTCTTGAGTAGCTAGGATGACAGGCATTGATGCCCAGCCCATGAAGAGCTCTTTGGAAAAAATAATCAGGCACTTGCTCTTGTCTGAATTGGTTGGATAACGAATTTCCCAATAATTTTCTAACTGGTCCTCTAGCATCTTCCTAGCTAGACATTAAGCTTCTGGAGTGTAGAAGTCTTTTGTGAGAAGCACTTCACCACGTGCTCTACACATTGATTCGCACCAGGCGGCTGACTCCCTGCTCCCTAGCAGCATCATGCTAATTGCAAAGAGGCAGATCACCTTGATCCAGCCCTTCCTGAATGAGGCTTTCTGGGTCCCCCCTGGCTCCACCTCACCCTTCCCCAACCAGCCCTTCCCCAGCCACTCACTGTGATGTTGCAGAGGATGAGGAAGAGCGAGATCTCCTTGAGCGCCCGCTGCTTCCAGTTGAGATGACTGTAGGAGTGGATGTAAGCCGCAGAGGCCCGCCGCAGGTCTTGGCCCAGCTCTATCAGGGAGCCCCTGTGGGGAGACGGTGTCTCCTGCTTTCTGGACAGGTCCTCGGGCACCACCTCCCAGAGCGGGCGGCGGTGCAGGCCCTCGATGATGAAGAGATTCTGGGTCATGTGTTGGACGATGAGCAGGAGGGAGTAGGCCAGGATGAGCTGGTTGAGCAGCTCATGTGGGCGGGTGGCCACGATGGCCACGATGGAGAAATAGGCGATGCCCATTTGGCCCAGCGCGGCGCCCATTAGCAACACCACATCCAGGCTGCGGGTGGGGTTCTTGACCGTGTCCAGCTCCCGCTCCTCCAGCCCGTGGATGGCCGTGCCCGCCAGGCACGCCAGGCTCATGGCAGGCAGGGCGGCCACGTAGAAGGCGTAGTAGAGGGTGAAATACTGGCGGCCGATTGCGGGGCCACTGGCCTCGATTTGGAAAAGCACGAAGATGCACACGCCAGCCACCAGGGCCAGCACGCCCAGCAGCGGCCCGAAGATGGCCCCGTGCAGGTGGAAGGGCAGGCCGGGGGGGTGCACGCCCGTGTGGGCCGCCAGGCGGCGCCCCACGTTTTTCCACATGACGAAGAGCACCGCGCAGCAGATGAGGCAGTACTCAGTGCTGAAGGGGTAGAGCATCAGGTAGCCCTTCCGGAAGACCTCACACACCGAGGCGTTGAGACACAGGCAGGTGTTGGTCTCATTGCCTGGGGAGGGGTGGGGCGGGAGGAGACCGAGGTTCAAGGGCACCCAGGGGAACCAATCACTCTCAAGGCCATCTGGAGCCTGTGAGCGCTGGAAGAGGCGGAGCTAGCTGTATGGATGGATGGATGGATTCATTTGGTGCTGGTCTTTACGCTTGAACTCAGGGCCTGGGCATAGGCTGTCCCTCAGTTTGTTTGTTTTGGCCAGTCCTGGGACTTAAACTCAGGGCCTGGGCCACTGTCCCTGAGCTGCTTTTTGCTCAAGGCTAGCACTCTGCCACTTGAGCCACAGCGCCACTTTCAGCTTTTTCTGTAATTAATTGGAGAGAAGAGTCTCATGGACTTGCCCGCCCTGGCTGGTTTTAACTGTGATCCTCCTATCTCAGCCTCCTGGGCAGCTAAGATTACAGGCATGAGCCACTGGCGCCTGTCTTGGGAGGATTTTCTAACCCTCAGTTTTCAGGCTTTGCTCATTCTTCAAGGCAGCTAGAATTGTATTGGGCAGCATTCTTTCAGGCCCAAAGCCGACTTTACGGTCTTGCAAAAAATATGCAAATGAAGTGGGTGGGGCTCCTGTGGGAGGGACTCCTCTGGGAGCTCAGCCAGGATTCGTGGCTGGCTGCCTGCTGACTGCCATGTGGGGCTGCAGCCCGACAGCCCCCTGATGGCTCACGAAGGGACTGTGGGCAGTGGACGGCTTCTGCTGAAATGTAATCAGGCCTCTAGAGTTTGCTCCCAGCTCTGTATAACTCTCTGGGCACCTGCAGTTTGGGGGAGTGTATTTGCATCTGTGTGTGTGTGTGTGTGTGTGTGTGTGTAAAAGGCTGCCCCCCCCCCCATCTACCTGACAGCTTCTTCATGAGGGCGCTGAGCTCCGCCTCGATTTCACGGTGCATGGAGTCGTTGGTCACAGCCAGTACCCACAGCAGCAGGTTTGTGGCCAGGGTCAGCATGAGGCCACACCTGAAGGAAGGGCCACGCGGCTCATTCCCACCGCTGGCCAGGCCTCCCTTGTCCTGTCCCCCCTCCCATCCTTACCGTCAACGGATACTGGGGCAAGTGCTGGTCTCAAAGGCATGGGCGAGGCAGCCCCTGGGGCCACCTGAAGACTAAGCCACAGCCGCAGGGGCCCCTTGTCTGGAGAGGCCGGGAGGTTCGGGAGGGAGACGAGTCTTACCTGGTGAGATTGGTCTGCACCTGCACACAGTCCTTACAGTGTTTCCAGAGGACCCAGGTCTGAAAGAGACAGGGCCTTGAGCCCAGGGACTGGTGGGGGGCTGTAGGTGTGTGTGTGTGTGTGTGTGTGTACACGCTCAAGTTGCTTGTGTGTATTTGCAACGGAAGACCCTGTGAGGAGGCCAGGGTTGGAATCGAGCCTCAGTCTTTTATTTTCCTTGCTGTGTGGTACTGGGCCAGTAGCAGAGAAGTTCTGAGCCTCAGTTGGCTCAAGCTCTGAAAAGGAGCTGAAATGTCCACTGCTTGGGGAAATACCAGACACAGGATCGGGTGCATTGCAGAGATGTGTGACTTTGGAAAGGAGGTTTGGCTATCTGTATATGCATCTGCATCTGTATAGATGCATATGTAGATATATGCAAATAAGCAGGGGCAGATGTGAGTAGAATGGTGTACAGGGGGCAGACAAGGGGTGTGGGCCCAGGAAGTGGGTGTTTAGAGGGGGCTGTGGTGTGTGAGGCCATGGGTGTGCGTGGGTGGGCAGCTCGTGCCCCCTGGTGGCATGGAGGTCGGGGAAGCCTGTCACCTGGATGCCCATGAAGACAATCTCGATGGCGGGGAAGAGGAGCTCCAGCTCAGACTTGCAGTGGCTGTGGCTCACGTCGTAGCCCATGCGGAAGACGTTGAGGCAGACGGTGCAGCTGCCAAAGAGCACCAGGGAGCCTGGCGGGCGCGGGCGGGCATTGGCACCTGTCCTCAGGCCAGCTCTCCCGCCCCAGCCCTCTCCAGCCATGCTCACCTCGCACCCAAATCGGTCCCGCATGGGGGTCTCGATAGAGCACGGCGTGGGGCCGCCGCACAGTGCTGGCCATGTAGTAGAGGAGCCAGAGGACGGAGAGGACCTTCAGGACAGCTAGCAGGATCCACACGTCGCCCAGAGTGACGGCCACATTGTTGAAGATCATACTGCAGATGAAGGCCCCGCCCAGGAACACCACGTTGAGCGCCAGGAGCCCGGAGAAGAGCTGTCCAGCCTTCTGGGCCTGCCGGTCCCGTCGAAGCAGCAGTGAGAAATGGCGAGCCAGCCAAGACTTCTCTCTGGGCAGCCCTGGGGCTCCTGTCTCCTTGGCTCCTGTGTCCCCTTGGTCCTTGGGGGCTGGGGATGCCTCTGTTGACTGTGCTTCCGGAGAGGACACATGTGGAATCTCAGCAGCCACTGGAGAGAGAGAAAGGGCTCTGAATGACTTCAAGGGTTCAAGGCTACCTCTTCTGGTTGCCCATAGAGGTTCACAGAGAACAGCAGACGCACCAGGAGCCAATGGCTCACACCTGTAATCCCAGCTACTCAGGAGGCTGAGATCTGAGGATCCAGATTCTTATCTCCGATTAATTAGCAAAAAGCCAGAGGTGGAGTTGTGATTCAAGTGTAGAGTGCTAGCTTTGAGCAAAAAAGCAAAGGGAAAGCCAGGCACTGGTGGCTCATGCCTGTAATCCAAGCTACTCAGGAGGCTGAGATCTGAGGATCTCGGTTCAAAGCCAGCCTGGGCAGGAAAAGTCCGTGAGACTCTTATCTCCAATAAACCACCCAGAAAACTGGAAATGGTGCTATGGCTCAAGTGGTAGAGTGCTCACCTTGAGCTAAAGAGCTGAGGACAGTGCTCAGGCCCAGAATTCAAGCCCACAACCGACCAAAAATAAATAAATAAATAAAGGGACAGAGCCTTGCCCCTGGTCCCAAGTTCAAGCCTCAGTACTGGCACAAGAGAAAAAAAGAAGATAAAAGAAAAAAAGAACAGGAGACAGGGAAATGCTTTGTGTTGCCCATAAACCTAAGTGAGTGTGTGTATGTGTGTGCTACTAGTACACACACTTGAATTTTCCACTCAAGGCCAGGGCTCTACCACTTGAACTACATCTCTACTTCCAGCTTTTCTGGTGGTTAATTGGAGCAAGAGTCTTATGAACTTTTCCTGCCCAGGCTGGCTTTGAACTGTGATCCTCAAACCTCAGCCTCCTGAGTGGCTTCGATGACAGGTGAGCCACTAGTGCCCAGCTTTCTAAGGGATTGTTTTGATTTGCTCAAGAGCCTCTTAGACCACCCCACTCCTAGATGGGCTCCCTCACTTCCTGACTCAGTGTAGAGTAAGACAGTGACATCTGCCCAAGGAGCCAGTGGTATCTGCACACTGCCTTATCTTTTTTTTTTTTTTTTTCTGTCAGTCATGGGCTTGAACTTGAGGCCTAGGCTCTGTCCCTGAGCTCTTTTTGCTCAAGGCTAGCACTCTACCACTTTGATCCACAGTGTTACTTCTGATTTTCTCTTGTTTAATTAGAGATAAACATCTCACAGACTTTCCTGCCTGGGCCGGCTTTCAACCATGATCCTCAGATACCAGTTTCCTGAGCAGCTAGAATTATAGGCATGAGCCACTGGTGCTCATGGGACCATTTCTAAGGCTGGCTTTTCACCCCTGCTAACTTCCAGGTGGAATTCTGCTCCTGAGGTCTTGGAGGATGAATGGATGTCTTCTTTGACTTTGATTGATTAGTGAACTAGGATTGCCGACAGCACTGTGTGTGCCAAGGTGGATCCTGAGGTTGAGTCTGGGCTGGGTGGGAAAGAATGCAGTAGATCTGAAGTAATACTTTGTCATAGGGATGCAGGAGTGTATATAAGATGACTTTGGAAAGATCTAGAAGCTACAGTAGTTTTCTTCCAGGAAAGGATGAGGAAAACAGGACTAGTAGACCTTCCTTTAGCTCTAATGGTCTTATTTATTTATTTTCCCTAACACATATCATAATATTACATAGTGGTTCTGGGATTGATTTGCAATGTCTGCCAAGTGCACAAGAGAGGTTGGGCTGAGTACAGATGCCATGAGTTGCCCCTATTCCCAGCTGTCCCATGAATTCCCAGCATAGCCTAGGGACACTAGCCTCCATCTTCCAGAATGTCTCTTGCCACCTCCTGATGCTCCCCAGTTTTTCATTTAAACCAAACAACCACGTTGTCACCACTTGCTTGGGCCTGATCTTGGGGCACTCAATACGGGCAGCTCTCCCCTTTGGCCCTCTTGGGACATTCTTCCTTCAGGGTGGGGCTGAGGTGTTCTACAGAGCAGGGGGTGGCTCATTTTCCCATGGCCACCCTGGGCATTATTCATCCCTTCCATTGTTCTCTTCTGGAACAAATGGAAAACTAACACTTGGCCTTCTTTTCTGGATTTCTATAAATGATCCTCTCTCTTTTCCTGGTCCACAGTGTCCCTTAAGGCAAATTCGACCTCCTCCCCATCCAGCCTGCTGGCCACACTCTGGGTACCTGCCTGTCACTCCATCCCTGCCCAGGTAAAAGCCTCAGTGTTTTCCCTGTTTGTCCCTGGCTCCCATGATCCCTCCAGGAGCCAGCTGCTCCTTCTCCCTGGACAGTGGCCCTTACCCGTCCACTTTACTACCGTGGAAGCCTTCTTTCTCGGCTAGTGGTGTGTTGCTGGGCCACTCCTTCCCGCTGAGTGTGGGTGTGTACTGTCAGGTGTGCTGTGTGTGTGTGTGTGTGTGTGTATGTGACAGACTCCCCCTCCCCGCCCCAAGACCCAGAGCTGCTCTACTTAGCAAGGCAAGTGCAGATCCCAGCTCTCACCTCCTGTTCGGCCCTGGACTCTGGCAAGTCCGTGGGAACTTTCAGCACCAGAGCTCTGGACAGAGACCCTTCCATTAACCCCTTCCATTCTCGCAGCCACCTAGGCTTTCCAGTGGATGGTGATCTCTTCCTCCCAGGCTCCCTCGCCCAGGTTGAGCAAGGCTGAGGTTCAGAGGCACACCCCTTCTGCTCCCTGTTCTTTGTTGTTGTTTTTGTTGTTGGCACTAGGGACTCAACCCAAGGCCTTGCACAAGCTAGGGAAGTGCTCTACCATGTAAGCCATGCCTGCAGTGCCTTCTTGCTCCTTTTCTGCCAAGCCCAGCAGCTCTAGCTCACTTTCCCAGGAATCCACTCCCCTATCCAAGTCACCGTAATGACTGAGAGCCCGGATGCTGCCACTCTTTATCCCTGTAAGCCTGGGCAGCGCTCTCAGACTCTGTGTCTCAGTGTCTTCATCTGTGAATCCAGTATACAACTAGGAAATGGTAATGCCCAATGAATAGGAGACACTCAATCTTCCCTCCCTCTTTCCCTCTTTCCCTCCCTCCCTCCCTCCCTCCCTTCCTTCATTCCTTCCTTCCTTCCTTCCTTCCTTCCTTCCTTTTTTCCTTCCTTCCTACTTTCCTTCTTTCCTCCCTTCTCCTCCTCCTCCTCCTTCTCCTCTTCTTTCTCCTTCTCTTCCTTCTCTCCCCCCTTTTTTTCTTGTTTTGGGGATCTAACCCAGGGCACTCTAACACTCACTACACCAACCCCCAAACAAATTCTCGAGCCGATAAATGGGGGGAATTCATGCATGGCACCTACCTCAGAGAAATTTTGTTGCAAATGAGTGATTTAATACATATAAATTCACATAGAGCAGGGTGAGAAAGCCCCCCTGCCCTGGCCCTGTGTTAGCTGTTTGGGAATTTTCCTACTGTTCTTTCCAGATGCTGGAGCGAATGGAATTGTGGGTCAATTTCAGAGATGGGTTTTGCAGGCTGCAGGCTGGAGGGGGCTACTGAGGGACAAGGTTCCAGCTCCCCTCCCTCCAACCCAGGACGGCCCCCGCCCCTCTTTTGCTGTCCAGCAGCAGCGAAAGGGAACCATGGAAGGCCCCAAAGCTGATCTGTGGTGGTGGTTCACACCTGTAATCTCAGAACTGGGAGGTTGAGGCAGGATCTTAAGTCCCAGATCAGGCCAGACACTTGTCTTTATAAAATAAAATGTGGGAAGGCCGGTACCAGAGACTCACACCTGTGACCCTGGTTACTCAGGAGCCTGAGATCTGAAGACCTTGGTTTGAAGCCAACCCCGGGGCAGCAAAGTCCATGAGGCTCTTATCTCCGATAAGCCCAAAGCCCAAAGTGTGTGTGTGTGTGTGTGTGTGTGTGTGTGTGAGAGAGAGAGAGAGAGAGAGAGAGAGAGAGAGAGAGAGAGAGAGAGAGAGAGAGAGCGCGCAGGGACAGCGCCCAGGCCCTGAGTTCAAGCCCCAGGTCGGGCTCATCAGTGAGCGCGTGTGGGGTTAATTCAGTTGATCTCGGGGCAGGGTGCGAGGGTGGAACAGGCCCGGAGTCCACCACCCTCGGGCGTGCCCTCCCCTCGACGCCAGCCCAAGGGAGGGCCGGGACACCAAACAGGTTTGTGCACCGCATTTAGGGGCGGGCGACGACGGCCGCGGAGCCGTCGGGGCGGCGCGGGGCCCCGGCGGGAGCGCAAGGCAGGACCGGCTCCAGTCGAGGCTGCGGGGCGCCGGTGCCCCGCGCGCGCCCTCCAGGCGATCTCGGGATGCCCCGAGCGCAGAGCCGGATGTGCGGTGAGGGGGACACAGAGGCAGCAGTGGGCCCCTCCGGTCTCCCTGCCCTCCCTCCCCAGTCTCGGCAGCGCCTGACACCTGTCGCGCCTCCTCCCGGCCCCCCCAGGATCGGCCCTCGGGGTCCAGGGGCGCCGGGTGCCTTACCTGCGGCGTGGGCAGCCATGGCTGCGGCCGGGCTCCGGCCCTCCCGCCAGGTGAGGCTCCGCGCCCCCGACGCCCTCCCGCGCCCCGCGACACTGCGCAGCCGCCGCGCGGGCTCCAAGGCCCATCGATTTTTCTGTTGACTTTGGGCATCTTATTAATCCCACGTTAATTACCCCGCCGGGGGCTCCGGGGCAGCCAATGGCGCGGCGGCGGGGCGGGGCGGGAGGCGGGCGCAGGTCTGCAGGGCGCGCGGGACTCGGGGCGGCAGGGGCGCAGGGCGCAGGGGCGCCGGGCTGCAGGGCGCGCGGGGCGCAGGGGCGCAGGGCGCAGGGGCGCAGGGGCGCAGGGGCGGCAGGACGCGCGGGGCGCAGGGGCGCAGGGGCGCAGGGGCGCAGGGGCGGCAGGGGCGCCGGGCGGCAGGGCGCGCGGGGCTCAGGGGCGCAGGGGCGCCAGGGCGCGCCTAGCAGTAAAGGCTTTGTGGGTTCCGCGGCCGAGCTGGGAATGGGACACTCCCGGGTCGCCTTTTTCTGCCCCTTCCCTAGCATCGGGCTGAAGTCAAACTAAAGGCGAGGCGGAGGTGGGGAAGAGAGCCAGGCAGAGCCTCATTCCTCCGTTTCCCATCCTCTGGTGGCCCCTGTCCTCCACGTGCCAGGGCCATCGCCCCTCCCCCCCGCCCCTCTGCTCCCACGCAAGTCCCCCTTCTTCCTGCCTTCCCCTCCTTTCCAATGTTTGACCCTCTCTCCCTCTCCCTCCCACGCCCCTCTGTATTTCTTTCTTATTTATTTATTTATTTTTGTCGGCTGTGGGGCCTGAACTCTGGGCCTGGAGGCTGTCCCTCAGCTCTTCAATTCAAGGCCAGCGCGCTACCACTTGAGCCACAGCACCACTTCCAGCCTTTTCTGCTTATGTGGTGCTGAGGAATCGAACCCAGGGCCTCAGGCATGCAAGGCAAGTACTCTAGCACGGAGCCACCTTCCCTCTGTATTTCCTGGAAGGGCTTTGGCAGGAGACCTTCCCCCAGTTGGGAGAAGGGAGGTGGGAGGAGGCAATCTGACTCTTTCAGACTCCTCTTAAACTTCTTAAACTGGAACCATTTACTTTATCAACCAGAGCTCCTGGCATTCCTGAAGTATTTGGGGGAGGAAGTATGCTTATAGCCGCTGGTAGAAGGGGACCATGGAATAGGAGGAATGAATTCCAGTGTTCCAATAATTCATTGGCTATTTAAAAAATATTAAATAGAGCTAGGCACCAGGGGCTCATACCTGTAATCCTAGCTACTCAGAAAGCTAAGATCAGCGAAATCACAGTTTGAAGCCAGCCAGGGGAGATTCAAAAAAAAAGAGTCCAAGAGGCTCCATCTCCAAGATAACCAGAAAAAGCTGTGTTGGAAGCTGGGTGCCAGTGGCTCATGCTTGTAACCCTACCTGCTCAGAAGGCTGAGATCTGAGGATTGGAGTTTCCAAGCCAGCTCAGGTAGGAAAGTCTGGGAGACTCATCTCCATTAAGCACCCCCCCAAAAAAAAATCCAGAAGTGGAGCAGTGGCTCAAGTGGTTAGAGCACTAGCCTTGAGCAAAAAAGCTCAGTGGCAGCACCTAGGCCTTTAGAACCAACACACACACACACAAATACCAAAACAAAACCCCTATCCAAAATCAACCACCACAACAGAAGAACGTGCTGCTTGAAAGAAGACGTGAACATTACTCTTCTTAGTAGGAAGGGTCTGGCTTCCTGTGTCCTTGGCAAAGCCACCTCTCTGCACCTCCATTGCCTTCTCGGTAAAATGTGGAAGTTGGACTGTGCCCCTCCTCATTAACTGTTCATGTGTCAAGGGACACATAAAAATATGTGTCACCTGGAAATAAGTAAAAGAGGAAGGTGCAGCTCATAAACTCTAGCCACCCCTCCCCGCCACCCAGGCAACCGCTGTTGAGATCATCTATAACTCAGATCCTGCTCTCCCATTGAAAACTTTGAGGCCTCACACCTCGATCTTTACCAGCGCTGACTGCCGAGTTCCGAGTTCCTTTCCCATGACCTCCAACGGCTGAGACAAAGAGCGGACAGGGAGCGAGTGAATTGTGGGTTTATTAGTTCTCAGCCCCAGACAGTGCACTGCCAGGCCCCAAGGCTGGCATTCAGGATGGAGCTAGAGAGAGAGAGAAAGAGAGAGAGAGAGAGAGAGAGAGAGAGAGAGATCCCTCCCTGCCAGGCCCCAGGGTCATGCAGAGGTGGATGGGTAAGTCCTGATTGTGATTTAAAAACTCATCCTGGAAAAATAAACTGGTGCAAAAATTCCACTCTGGGGCCGGGGAGGAGGGGATGGATAAGGTCGTTCTGTGGCTGACAGTTCCCGCTCCATGTCTTCTTCCCAGGTTTCAGGACAACACGTAGACCTCCAGCAAGCTGGAGACGGCGTGCATGCGGTAGAAGATGCCGAAGGGCAGGCAGATGTTGACGATGGCTGCCCAGAGGGAGTAGCCGTAGAAATCCACCTCTACTCTGTTGCTGAAATGGGGGCGGGCCCCAAAGGCAGGCATGATCCACAGCTGTGTGGAGAGAGGAGCACATCAGAAGCCAACCCAGAATGCACTGGGGAGTCATTTCTGTGGGCTTTGCTGGGTTGCAACGGGATCCTTCTAGTTTGTTTGGACTCCGGAGGACTAGGGATCATGGCCAGGTGTCACGCTAGCATCTTGACCAGGCCCTGGCACTTTCTAATTTGCTCGGCAGTCTGCCCAGTTATGCTTGCTCATTTGGGACATCAGGTGCTGGTGGCTCACGCCTATAATTCTAGTTACTCAGGAGGCTGAGATCTGAAGGATCTTGGTTCGAGGCCAGCCATGGGCAGGAAAGTTCACTAGATTTCATTTCCCAAAATAACCAACAAAATGCACTAGCCTAGAAAGCTGGAGACCCTGAGTTCAAACCCCAGTACTACCAAAAAAGGAGATGGGGGGAGGGGAGAGAGCAGGAGAGAAAAAGAGAGAGAGAGAGAGAGAGAGAGAGAGAGTTGCCCATTTCTAGGTTAGGGTTCTACCTACTGCCCCTCTCCATCCCTCCTTCAGGACCCTCTATGACATGGACATTTCAATAAATGACATAGAAATTGCTACACACAGCTGGGTCTGCAGCTGGGGAGATGTATACAAGGGGGTGCTGGTGGCAGAACCAATCAGGCCCAGAGCAGGCTTGGCCAGAAGGCTGCTGTCTCCAGCCCTCCGGGAGCTCTGCCTCCCCACCCTCTGGCTTCCTCCTCTGCCTTCTTTCCAGGCCCAGGAGGAGGAGGAAGCTGGATCACTGTTGCACCCATCCTGGATGATTAGGATGCAGGCTGTGAGACAAGGACCAAAGGCCTCCACAGAGACTCTTCTCCCGCCTCCCCCCCCACCAATTAACCTTTCCGAGTTGCATTGCACCCCCACCCCCCAACCTGTTTGTTCTGTGAGCCAATGCTGTCAGAAATGACTCAGGCTCAGATACCTGGAAGAATAGACTCCAGGAAGGTGGAGTAATCCAGCCTGGGAGGAAGATCTGGGTGGAGCCTGGTGGGGGTGGGGGGGGGGGTGAGCACCAAAGCAAGACCCAGGTATCGTGAGGTTTTTGAACCTTATTGACTCTACTTGGTAGGGTCAGAGATTGGTTGATCACATTTTTTGTTTGTTTGTTTGTTTTTGGTCAGTCGTGGGGCTTGAACTCTAGGCCTGGGCGCTGTCTCTGAGCTCTTCAGCTCAAGGCTAGTGCTCTACCACTTGAGCCACAGCTCCACTTCTGGCCTTTTCTGCTTATGTGGTGCTGAGGAATTGAACCCAGGGCCTCATGCATGCAAGGCAAGCACTCTACCACTGGGCCACCTTCCCAGCCCCTTGATCACATTTTTCTTTAAAATAACACTGACTATGGAGGGGCTCTTGCATGAGGGTCATACCATGTGGGTGGGGTCACACTATGCAGTTGGGGTAGTGACTGTACAGGAGATTACCTGTGCCTTCACTCGAATATAGCTTAGTTAGGGCTGTTGATATGTCTCCTCTAGGTAGAATTTCACAAGAATAGAATTCACTCTATGGAGATTTGTTTTCTGGTGGGATATACATATACATATATATACACATATATATGTATCATACTTTTATATATATATATATTTCTGTGATGAGAATCAAACTCAGAACCTCTTGAATGCTAGGTAGGCATTTACTCTACCACGAAGCTGTATCCCAGCCCCAGGATATACCCATGTTACATTGATTTCCACATGAGAGATACCCTTCTATTGGAGTGTATAACCAAAAGCTCTGTTTCTTTGTTGGCTCAAATTTCATTAGGTTGTTTTTACTATTTGAGATGTCATGATCATCTCTTGCTAAGAGCCCCCATGTATATCAACATCCAAGAATATTCAAATCCCTTACATGACGTGGCACTGCATTTGCATATCCTCATCATACATCCTCCAGTTTACTTTAAACTCTGTCTCAAGCACTCTATTCAAGATATCTAATACAATCTAGATGTGATATAAATACTGGTTACATTATATTCTTTAGGGAATGACAGCAGCAGAAAAACTCTACCTGTTCATTGTAGGTGCAAAGTTTGGTTTGTGCCAGTACTGGGGCTTGAACTCCAGGCCTTGCCTTCTCATTTGATTTTCTTGCTCACGGTTCATCCTGTACCACTTGAACAATGCCTCCAGTACAGCATTTTGCTGGTTAATTGGAGATTGGAGTCTCCGGGACTTTTTTGTCCAGGCTGGTTTTGAGCCACAATCTTCTGATCTAGCTAGGATTACAAGGTTGAGCCAACAGAGGCCAGCTAGAATATTTTCCCCCTAATATTTTCCATTTGAGGATTTGCCTATAACCTGATACATGGAACCCATAGACAGAGGGCTGACCATACCCACATGGATGTTTGTTTGTATACTAGAAATTTCTTTTTTTTTTTTTTTTAGGGGAGGGTCTGGTCGTGGGGCCTGAACTCTGGGCCTGGGCGCTGTCCCTCAGCTCTTCAGCTCAAAGCTAGCGCTCTACTACTTGAGCCACCACACCATTTCCGGCTTTTTTTCTTTTTGCTTATGTGGTGCTGAGGAATCAAACCCAGGGCGTCATACATGCAAGGCAAGCGCTCTACCACTGAGCCACCTTCCCAGCCCCTATACTAGAAATTTCTACACTGGAGATCATTCTCTTTGTCTCTGTCTCTGTCTCTGTCTGTCTCTCTCTCTTTCTGTGTGTGTCAGTCTTGGGGCTTGAACGCTGGGTCTGGGCACTGTCCCTGAGATTTCTTGCTCAAGGTGAGCTCTCTGCCACTTAAGCCACAGCGCCACTTCTGGCTTTTTGCTGGTTACTTGGAGAAGAGTCTTTTGGACTTTCATGCCTAGACTGGCTTCCTACCATGATCCTCAGATCTCAGCCTCCTGAGTACCTAAACTAGGATTACAGGAGATTATTTTTATAGTAAGGGCATTTCCATACAGGGTTGTAGTTGCGATAGGTTTGTTTTTCTATTGGGATGTACCTTCACTACAACAGTTTCTGCCCTGAGGTGGTTCCATCCAACCAGTTTATTTGTACTGGCTGAAGCCTGTTGCTTTTAATTTAAGCAAATGAGATTGTGCCAGCATTTCTGCCCCCTTCCTGCCAGCTCCCCCCCAACTGCTGACAGACTGCTCACACTTGCTCACACTTACGCTGCGCTCCCCCGTTACTTCCTGAAGCTGCTCCAATTTTTCTGAGAAGCAGGCAGGTCACAAGTTGCAGAAGCAGTCACACCTCCCACAGGGGGGTGAGGGCCCCGCCCTTCACATTCCCTCTTACCTCCACCCAGCCTCCCACACCAGCCTTTCCTGGGACCCCTCCAGCTCTGCCTGCTGCCTTTATGTCAGAGGGCTGGGATATCATTGTGTGCTGGGTGAGGTGCCCTCTCTGATCCTGCTCCTCTCCTAGGGAGCTGTAAGATTTGGGGGGGGGTTGAGCTGGGGGGCAAGACAGAGAAAGCCAAGAGAACAAAGCCATGGGACTAGCCTTCCTCTGTGTCTGCCCTGCCCTCCCCCACTTCTACCTCCCCCTCTCCCCTGCCTCTACCTCCCCGCCTCAGCTACTCACGATGACATTGCAGAGCAGGAGGAACAGAGAAATGTCTTTCAGGCACCGGCGTCTCCAGTGACCCCTGGGGGTAGAGATGATGGCCACCGCTTCCGGCGGGCCTTCTAGAGGGCTGGCCAGCCTGGGGGTGGACGGGCAGGCGGGCAAGGCATGGAGGGCATCCAGGTTGGCAAAGGTGAGGCCTTGGCAGGGCTCCTTGTTGGGTGTCTCCCGGGGCTCCTCCCCCGGGGGCCCCCGGTGGAGGCTCTCAATGATGAACACATTCTGGAAGGTGTGCTGGGCGATCATGAGCAGAGCGTGGGCCAGGTTGAGGCCCCCCAGCAGGTCCCTGGGTGTGCCCACCACCACAGCCACGATGGAATAGTAGGAGATGGCGTACTGGCCCAGGGCAGCGCCCATCAGCAGGCCTACGTCCAAGGTGCGAGTGGGGTTCTTATGCTGGTCCATAGCCCGGCGGTCAAAACGGTAGATGACCGAGCCGCTCAAACTGACCAAGGTCATGAGTCCCAGGCAGACAATGTTGAAGCTGTAGTAGCTGACCAGGGCCTCCTGGGTGCGGCTTCCCTCTCCGCTCACTTGAACTTCATAGATGATGAAGACCGCCAACCCCACCACAAAGAGTATCAGGCCCAGGACCGGTCCAGCAAAGAAGGTCTCCCGGAAGAGGCTGACCCGGGGTGGGGCGTGGCCGTGGCCGTGGCTGGAGGTGAGCAGCCTGCCCACATTCTTCCACATGACGTATAACATGGTGGAGGCGAACAGGCTGTACTCGATGTTGAAGGGGTACAGGTAGAAGTAGCCCTGCTGGAAGATCTGGCAGATGGCCGTGTCGCAGGGACACGGGTCGCCTCCAGCCGTGCTTCCTGTGCGCTCCGCTGTGGGGAGGGAGAAGGTGGGGGGGGGAAGCTGGACTTCCTTCCTGTCCTCCATTCGCATCTTTGTAAGGAAGGGCAGGGGAGTTCTCTCTGCCAGTGACCACTGTAGCAGCCCCAAGGCTTTCACAAGCCTTGGCATGTTCCTTTATTCCATAATTGCTTAAAGAGCACCTACTAGGGTTTAGGTACCCACCAATTATAGAGAAATCTGAGTCAGGTGTAGTGGTGCATTCCTATAATCCCAGTGCTTGGGAGGATGAAGCAGTCTTCAGTTCAAGGCTAGATGGAACTACATAGTAAGACCTTCATTCAACACTACCTTCCTCCTCTCCCTCCCCCTCAAAAATCCAAAAGATAGAACTATCTGCTTCCCTCATTGTATTTCTTCAATCTCTTCCAGTCGGATTTCCCAGATTCCCAGATCCCTGAGCTAGGCAGGCTGACCTCCCCTGGACTGGTTTTCTTTTTTTTTTTTTTTGATCCGGTCGTGGTGCCTGAACTCTGGGCCTGGGTGCTGTCCCTCAGCTCTTCAGCTCAAGGCTAGTGCTCTACTACTTGAGCCACAGTGCCACTTCGGGCTTTTTTCTGCTTATGTGGTGCTGAGGAATCGAACCCAGGGCCTCATGCATGCAAGGCAAGCACTCTACCACTGAGCCACCTTCCCAGCCCCTGGACTGGTTTTCTTTTAACTGTATTTTTTTTTTTTGTCTTCTCTTTTTTGGTACTGGGAATCGAACCCAGGACGTTGCACTTGCTAGGCAAGCGCTTTGCCACTGAGCTACATCCCAGCCCTGGACTGGTTTTCATCCCCATCTGCACCATCTAGACATCAGTCTGCTGGGGGCTGGGTCATGTCCCCACTGGCAGGGGGTATGCCAGTGTCTTAAGGTGATGGCTAAAGGGGACCCCCAGAGAAACCCTGAAAACAGGACCAGGAGACCATGGACCCCTGTCTTCTTTCATGTAGCGCAGTGACTAAAAGCAGTGAACACTAGCACGTGCCTTCCAGACCCTGGGTAAGCTACTTCACAACCTCGCCACACATAGTTCCTGCATCTATAAAACAGGAACTTTCCCCCAACTCCCCACCTAGTACTGGTGGGGTTTGAACTCAGGGAAGACCTCATGCTCTCGCTTAGCTTTTCTACTCAGGCCTGGTGCTCTTGAGCCAGACCTCCACTTTCGCTTTTTGCTGGTCAATTGGAAAGAAGAGTCTCATGGCCTTTTCTGCCTAGGCTGACTTCAAACTGTGATTCCCCAGGGCCTCAGTCTCCTGAGTAGCTAGGATTACAGGCATGAGGCCATGGTGCCCAGCTAAAATGGAATCTTGTTCTTTTTTTGGCTGTGGGGCCTGAACTCTGGGCCTGGGTGCTGTCCCTCAGCTCTTCAGCTCAAGGCTAGCGCTCTACCTCTTGAGCCACAGCACCACTCCCAGCTTTTTCTGCTTATGTGGTGCTGAGGAATCAAACCCAGGGTCTCATGCATGCAAGACAAGCGTTCTACCACTGAGCCATCTTCCCGGCCCCCTAAAATGGAATCTTAATAGTACCTATTGCCAAGGGAAATTGCGATGGTTAAGAGGGTTCCAGACCTTAGCACTGGCAAGTCATCACAACTGTCTTCATGATGGAATAACTATTTGTTACTTCCCTTTCCCAGGCAGTCCCGTGAGATCGTAAGCTCCCTTCCTTCCCTGGTCCAGATCAGATCCTTCCCCTTTCTTTGGGGGTGGGGGGGGGTGGGCCCTTTCTAATGGCCTGGATTGCTCCATGGTGGAGCCCAGGCTGAGACAATCTGCCCCCTGTCCTTGCTCCTGCTCCTCGTCATGTCGTGGAGCAGAGCTGGAGTGGGAGGCGGCCCCTGCGTTCCACCTTTGCCACTATGCCCTGTGACAACATGGTTGACTGACTGCAAATGCACCAAGGCCCACCCAAGGCCGGGCCGCCACCGGCCGTGGCGAAGGAGGAACTCACGGTCAGAGGAGAGGCGGGTGTGGCTGGCGTTGCCGTGAGCACTGCTGTAGGAGTGAGCCTGGTGCACCGATTCATCCACCACGGCTGCCATCCAGATGGCCAGGTTGGTAGTGAGGGTGAACATGAGCCCACACCTGTTTGGGGGATGGGGGACCAGATACCCACAAAGCTTTGGCTCCTTGTGGGTCAGACAGAGGTAGTTTAGGGAGCTCTCCTGAGAACGAGAGGGGGTTACAGAAGGCCTGTTCACACAGAACAGAGTTGCTGAGCTTGGGGGTAATACTCAGCCCGTGTGGAGATGCCACCTCACAGAGATTCCGGGCATTTCCAGAGGCTCAGTGCCCACCGACCCCTCCCTGGGGACGGAGGCCCCTGGGGTCTGGAAATCACACTGACAAAATGGAGGTGGGGGGAGGGGTGGGGGAGGGGTAAGGCAGAGGCTTGGCTGAGACCCACTCTGGGGAGCAGGCAGAGCAGCCGCGCCCAGGCTGGACAGCTCTCTGCCCTGGATAAACCCTGTGGGCACAATCATTGGGCTCTGGGTCTCACCGTGTCAGGTCCAGGTGGACGTGAATGCAGTCTTTAGCAGAGACCCAGAGAAAGTAAGTCTACGTTGAGAAAGAGGAAAAGTCATTACCTTGTAGGTGGGGTGAGTTCTAGTCCATATTCAGTCTACCCGTGGAGCCCTTATACTAACTGATCAGGGTCACTGTAACTTTACAAAAGGAGGCAGGGAACATTTTCTACAATAATACAGTCTGTGTGAAAGAAGTGGGTCTCAAGCTGGGCGCTGGCGGTTCACGCCTGTAATCCTAGCTACTCAGGAGACTGAGATCTGCGGATCATCATGGTTCAAAGCTAGCCTATGCAGGAAAGTCTGTGAGATGCTTATCTCCAATTAACCACCAGAAAACTGGAAGTGGTGCTATGTTTCAAGTGGTTGAGTGCTAGCCTTAAGCAAAAAAAGCTCAGGGACAGCGCCCAGGCCCTCAGTTCAAGCCCCAAGACCCAAACAAACAAACAGGTTTTTTTATTACTTAAAGGTTTGCAAAAATCTCACCTATAATACTCTGGTAAGGCCAAGCCCTGGTGGCTCATGCCTGTAATCCTAGCTTCTCAGGAGGCTGAGATCTGAGGATCAAGGTTCAAAGCCAGGCTGAGCAGGAAAGTCCATGAAACTTTTATCTCCAAATGACGACTGAAAAGTCAGAAGTGGAGCTGAGGCTCAAGTAATAGAGTGCTAGCCTTGAGTACAAAAGCTTGAGGACAATACCCAAGCCCTGAGTTCAAACCCCAGGATCCACACTCACACAAAACAATGGAACTTGGGCTGGGAAGGTGGCTCAGTGGTAGAGCGCTTGCCTTGCATGCATGAGGCCTTGGGTTCAATTCCTCAGCACCACATAAACAGCAAAAGCTGGAAGTGGTGCCGTGGCTCAAGTGGTAGAGCTCTAGCCTTGAGCTGAAGAGCTGAGGGACAGTGCCCAGAGTTCAAGCCCCACAACCGACAAAAAACAAAAACACAAAAACAAAAACAATGGAACTTGATTGAAAAACCCTAGCTATCAGAGACCCTGCCTCTTAAACAAACACAGGAACAGTGGTGGCTGGGTGGTCACAGTCACAGCACATCCCCTGGGCTGGGAATGACGTCCTCTGGGCACCCACGAGGGCATGCCAGGTTCTAGGGACAGGGACTGGTGTCACAACTCACACCTCCTAGGTGTTGACTCTTGGCACTTCTTGGATTGAAATAAAGTCGAGGTGCCTCCAAGCAGGAGCTCACATTTAGGTATTACTTAATTACTCAGTGCTCCCACATTTACGGACTCATGATCTTCACCTCTGTCCTATCCCATTTATTTCATGACTCGGGGCAGAAGGAGGCGTGGATTCCAGTCTCCTGATTCCTTGCCAGGCCAGTGTTGGCTCTTCTGCATCACACTCAAGGACAGGCCTCCCACCCACCTGGACAATGACAAACACAGCCTGGATGAGGGGGTGCAGGATCTTGATGGCCGACTGGCACTCAAAGAAACTGGAGTAGTAGCCAGTCTTGAAGACATCCATGACCAGAGTGCAGATCCCGAACAGCACCAGCCCACCTGGGAATGGGGGTGGAGGGGGAGTCAGCAGGATGGTAGCCATGTTTCAGAGAGAAGGGGGAAGGACTTGCAGAGCAGAGGACAGGCCTTCAGGATGAGTGGCTAAATGGGTGGCTGTAGTGAGTGGATGGATAGATGGATGGATGAATGGGGAATAGATGAGTGAACACATAAATGGGCCAAGGGGTGGATTGAAAGATGAACGGGTAGATGGAGGGGTGAGTGCATGAATGGATAGACGGATGGATAGGCTGAGGGGATGGATGGATGGTTGGATGGATGGATGAATGGGTGGATAGATAAATGAATGGGTGAACATACGAATGGGTCAATGGGTAGACTGAAAGATGAATGGGTAGATGGATGGATGAGGGAATCAATAGCTATAGATGGGCAGATAGGCTGGGAGGATGGGATGGTTGGGTGGGTAGGTGGGAGCGTGGATGAATGGATGGGAGAAGGGATGAATGGGTCAACGGGTGGACCGAAAGATGGGTGGGTAGATGGAAGGATGAATGCATGAATAAAGAGGTGGCTGTTGGATGCAGGAGGCTGGGAAGATGAGTGGATGGATGAATAGAGGAATGGAGTGGGCAAATTCAAGAGCTGAACAATGAAGAGGTAGATGTGCAGAGGACAGCGTCTGAGGCGGGCAGGTGGATGGAGGTTTGACTGTGTCCCCTTCCTCAGAGGTGCATGGACGAGACACACGGGATCTGTGGAGACGCAGTGTTTGCTCTCCCTGCTCCCCATCACAGGCTCCCCGTGACCTTCGCTCTGCCGTGGAAGCTGAGCAGTGGGCAGCCCATCCCATCCCTCCTGTAAGGACCAGTTCCCTGGCCTCCCTTCCGTCCCATCCACCTCGGTGGGCTCATTCATTCTCACCTCTCCAGCCAAACACCCCAGCGCTGCAGGACCCGGCAGGCCCACCCCCTCCGTCCCCTCCTGCCCCCCTCCCCCGGCACCTCGGAGCCAGATGGGGCCGGCATGCGCGTCCAAGTAGGGCACGGCGTCGGGGCAGCGCGCGCTGCGCAGCAGGTAGAACAGGATCCAAAGCACGGCCAGCAGCATCATGGCCGTGAGCAGCGCGAAGACGTCCGTGTCGTACACGGCCACCTTGTTGAAGGCGCCGCCGCTGATGAGCGTGCAGGCGAGCAGGAGCACGTTCACCGCCAGCAGCACCGACAGCAGCCGGCCGCCCTTCTTCCACACCTCTCGGGGGCCCCTCGGGGGCGCCGGCGGGCTCTCCTTGGGGCCCGGGGCCAGCTCCTCCGACATGGTGGGAACGAACGGACGCGTTGGGGGGGCTCACTGCAGGGGAAGAGAGGACCGGGCCTCAGCTCAACTTCGAGGGCGTGCATTCGTTCTGCATCTGCATCGTATTCCTGGATTTGAGGATGGAAGAGTTCCTAACTGGGGAATGGAGGTTGGTGGGGGTGGGGGCGCTGGGGAAGGAGGAGGAGGAGGAGGAAGATGAGGAGGAGAGGAAGAGGAGGAGGTCAAGAAGAAAGGAGAAGAAAGGAAGAAAGAAAGGAGATGGAGAAGGAGAAGATGAAGTTGAAGAAAGAAGGTGAAAGAAAGAAGAGGAAAAGAGGGAAGAGAAGGAGGAGAGATGGAGGAGGAGGGTGAAGAGGAGGAGGAGGAGGAGGAAAAGAAGAAGTGGAGGCAGAAGAAGAGAGGAGGAGGAGGAGAAGGAGGAGGTGAAGACGAAAGGAGAAGAAAGAAAAAGAAAGAAAGAAAGAGGAGAAGATGAAGTTGGAGAAAGGAGGTGAAGAAAGAAAGAAGAGGGAAGAGGAGAAGAAGGAGGAGGAGGAAGAAGAGGAGGAGGAGAACAACAATAAGAGAGAAGGAGGAGAGGAGAGGAGGAGGAAGAGGAAAAGGAAGAAGAAGAAGAAGAACAAGAACAAGAAGAACAAGAAGAAGAAGAAGAAGTGGAGGAGGAGGAGGAACAGAAGGAGGAGGAGGAGGAAGAGAAGAAGAAGAAGAGGAAATAATGGTGGAGGAGGAAGAAGAGAGGAGGAGGAGGAAAAGGAAAAGGAAAGGGAGGAGGAGGAGGAGGAGGAGGAGGAGGAGGAGGAGGAGAAGGAGAAGGAGAAGAAGAAGAAGAAGAAGAAGAAGAAGAAGAAGAAGAAGAAGAAGAAGAAGAAGAAGAAGAAGAAGAAGAAGAAGAAGAAGAAGAAGAAGAAGAAGAAATAATGGTGGAGAAGGAAGAAGAGAGGAGGAGGAGGAAAAGGAAAAGGAAAGGGAGGAGGAGGAGGAAGAGGAGGAGGAGGAGGAGGAGGAGGAGGAGGAGGAGGAGGAGGAGAAGAAGAAGAAGAAGAAGAAGAAGAAGAAGAAGAAGAAGAAGAAGAAGAAGAAGAAGAAGAAGAAGAAGAAGAAGAAGAAGAGGAGGAGGAGGAGGAGGAGGAGGGGGGGAGGGAGGGAGGGAGGGAGGGAACCAGAGCCTACATCGCTCCCTCCCCACGGCCTGGGCCGGACCGGCTCTTGGCGGCCGCACTGGGGGCACGCGGGGGGGGGGGGGGGCGCACCTGGCCGGGCCGGGCAGCGGCGCGGAGCCGGGGGTCCCGGAGAGGCGAGCGCGTCCTCTGTCCCACGCCGGGCTGCACGGGCGCTTTATACCCACGGGGGCCGGATGATTTACAGCCGCCGGGGCTCGGCTCCATAAACCTCTCAGCCCCGCTCACATGATCCATCTTGTTCTCCCAGCTGAATTTAGGGAAGAGAGCGTGAAAGCCAGATAAGGAAAGATTTATACTTAACCTATTAAGAACCCCCCACCCCCGCCCCTGCCCCGTCCCCCCCGTTCCCCCCTTTCCGCACCGCGGCACCCAGGGGACACCCGGCCCCGCGCCCCCCCCCGCGCGCCCCGGGGCCCATCGAGGCCCCCAGGGGAGGCCCTACAGTCGCCCCACCCCCCTCCTCCCAGCCCTGTTGCCCACCATGCCTTTGATCTCGGCTGCGAACCCCCGATCAGAGCACCGGTTCCCCTTTTCCCCGCACCTGCCCTCGGGGCGATGGGAGTTCCCTCTCCCTCCGGTCTCGCCCTGGCCTTGGCCGCGGCGCCCCCGGGGCGCGGAGTTCCCGCGCGCCTCGCCCGGCTCTCCGGCGCCCCCTGCCGGCGCGCGGCGGCGGCGGCCGCGCCGGGGAGCGCTGCGTCCTCCTCCACGGGTCTGGAGAGCGGAGGGCGGGGGGGGGGGGGGCCTTCACGCCCCTGCGGACCCCCAATCCTGGGGAGGCTGTGAGGGGTGAGGGGGAGCGGTCAGCGCCTCACCATTCCCTCCATCCGTTCTCAGCCCCCCCACCGTTGGCGGGTGGAGGAATCGGGAGCCGCAGCCTGGGCGCGCTGGTGAGGGGGGGGGTCCCCGAGCTGAGCTCCAAGGGAGGGGCGTCGGGGGGGGAGTGTAACCTTTGGATCTCACCTGGGTCAGCTCCGTGCGCGGAGAGGCGGGGCGTTTAGGACCCAGGGGAAGCCCGGGGGCGGCTCCCCGGGGCGGCGGGAACCCCCCCCCCCCATCCCCAGGCTCAGATGTCCTGGTAGCGCCCAGCCCGCGGCTCCCCGGGCGCTGCTCCGCACCCTCCGTCTGCGGCGGCCGGGGCTGGCGGCCCTGGCCTCCCCCGCCCGGCCCCCTCCCCGAACCCCCATGCCTCAGCCCTAACCCTGCTGCCCTCCCCCTCGGGGGGCACTTCCCTGCGGCCCCCACCCCCCACCCCGGCCAAGTCAGGCGCCATGAACGACCAGTACCACCGGGCGGCTCGGGATGGCTACCTGGAGCTCCTCAAGGAGGCCACCCGGAGGGAGCTCAACGCCCCCGACGAGGACGGCATGACCCCCACCCTCTGGGCGGCGTACCACGGCAACCTGGAGTCGCTGCGCCTCATCGTGAGCCGCGGGTGAGCTCTCCGCCGCCGCCCCGGCAGGGCAGGGGGGTGGGGGACCCCGGGACCCCGTGGCAGGTTCACGCCTTCCTCTGAGCTGGCCCCTTCCCCTGCCCACCAGGCCTGGCAGGCCCGGAGGGAGGCACACGTGGAGGTGAACGCCGCGGGAGGCTGTGCCCTGGCTGTGGGGCTGGGAGGAGAGGAACTGGGATTGGGGAGTCCATGATTGTGGGAGACCAAGGTGGGAGGGGTTGCCTGGGATTCTTGGGAGCAGGAGTGAGGGGAAAGGTGGGGGCCAGAGAGATGGCTGGAAAATCTCAGAGCGCCCCCAAGTGAGCACTAGGAAGGAAGGGGTGGGGGCCCTGGCTGCCCACTCCCCAGCCGAGCAACCGGAAGTCAGCCCAGCCAGCACCCACTGCTCCCCGCAGGCTGAGTCTCAATAACCCCTTTCCTTCCTTCCTTCTTTCCTTCCTTCCTTCCTTCCTTCTTTCCTTCCTTTCTTCCTTTCTTTCTTCCTTCCTTTCTTTCTTTCTTTCTTTTTTCCAGTCCTGGGGCTTGAACTCAGGGCCTGGGCACTGAGCTTCTCTGTGCTCAAGTCTAGCTCTCTACCACTTGAGCCACAGCACCACTGAGGGCTTTGTTTTCAGTGTATGTGTCATTGAGGAATAGGACCCAGGGTTTCATGCATTGCTAGGCAAGCACTCTACCACTAAGCCACATGCCCAGGATTTATGGGCACTGTCCCCAGTACTAAATGTCACTGCTTCAGCCACCTCATTAACTCTCCCTGTAGCTCCCCCCCCCCCCCCAGCAGGACACAGCTTTGCACTGGGAGACTGTGATGTCCCTTGGGGCTTCTGTCCCCACTCCTCTCCCTGAAGTCATCCTGCTGGAAGGTCAGACCCAGAGTCCAGCTAACCCTTGAGACAGGGGAGGACTTTGGAGGTAGCAGTTGAGGCACGCAAGTCCAGGGCCAGGGAAGATGAGGAGGGACTAAGTCACGGTACTGGGAACACACCAGTTTAAAGGAGAGTCTGCCCTGGCCACCTGGCCAGCCTGGATAGGAAACATTGTGGAAGAGATACTTTAGGAGGGTTCATAGAAATTCCTCTGGTCCCAGGGCAAAAGGGGCAGGCACCGAGCTTGCACTCATGTTGGGCACAGGCCTGAATTTATGGGGGTGAAAGACTCCCCCTGATCCTAGCTGCTCCTTCAGCAGCTAGCTTTTTTGTTTCAGGAAGGCCCACTGGGCTGTTTGCCTACTTCTTGATCAGAAAGACTCATGGGAGCCTCATAAAGGGGTCTGGAGGGGAAGAGGGCACTCCCTGGGTGCCCCAAGTCCTGTGGGGATAAGGATGGGTGCTCAGTGGGTGCGGGTCTGTGTGGACACTGTCCTGAGAACTTGGTAAGTATAGGGGCAGCTGAGCAGGGTGGGGTGGGAGGAATGAGAGGAGACACAGACAAGGGAGTGATTCTTCCCGCAGCCTTGGAGTGGCCTCGCGATCTCATTAGTGTGGGACAAGGGCCCAGTGCTGGTTTCCCAAAGGCAGGCAAAGTTCAGGGGAAGCCAGCAGAGGCTGCCCAGGAGGGATAGAGCCTGGTATGAAGGGTGTTGGTGGTGGTGGGGCAGTTGGCACTTCTCCAGCCAAGCTACCAGCCTCACATGGCTTCCAGAGACTCAGCAGCCAGATCAAGGTGGCTAGGTGGCCAACCCTCCTCCTCCTCCTCCTCTTTAGTCCTGGCTGCCCCTGCAGTCCCCTCCTGGCCCAGGCCAAGGCCCGACACCTGCTCTAACACTGGCTTTGCCAGGCCTGGCCCAGCTCCCTGCAGACATGGCCGTGTCCACTGTCAGCAAGCACCGCCACCCCCACCGGCTCACCAGGCTCGCTCAGGCCCACCCCCTTGTCCCCTTTCACAGCCACCCTGGAACACGTGGCCACGCTCACCCCCTCACACACCTGCCTAGAGACCCAGACTCGGCCCTGGCCCACCACTTCTCTGGGCCAGTTCCCCGCTGGGCCCATGAATAATTCACCTCTTTCTCTCTGAGCATCAAATATTTATCCCCTCAGATTCCCAGCCCTCAGTTCTCTTGGGGAAGGCCCCGCCTTCTGCGAGACCACGCCCCCTTGTGGGCGGGAAGCCCCGACCAGGCCCCGCCTTCCTCTAGACCACGCCCCCCGTGTGGGCGGGGCCGCGCTTCCTTGGACTTCCTCTAGGCCGGTTAGTCCTTTCAGGTTGATGACAGCAGATCCCCTGGGAGTCTCGGAAGGGCGGTCTCAGTCCCATGGGGGGCCCATGGGATGCCTTGCCCGGGGAGGGGGGAAGCTCAGCGAGGCTGGGGGAGGGGAGCCCCGACAGCCCCGTCCCCAGCTAGCTCGGACCGGCTAATCATGGCTCCC